ACATCCAGATTGGCCTAGGCGTTAACATCTCCCGGATCTAAGCACACCCAAAAAAGCAACCTATGCGAGGAAGTTGGACAACGCTACTAGGTTCAGGATCTTGACATTTATAAGCTTCGTAAAAAAGAATGATCCGATAAAGTAAAGTAGTGTAAATATGAAGGGACAAATGCAACACTCGCCAATATCTTCTTTCGAAGCTGAGGTTAAAAGGCTGTGGTAATGGGTAGAGCCAATGCAGATCTAACCTGCTGAGCCATTTATGAGACGTTATTTATACACATAACTAGCTTGTGTGATGGCAGACAAGAGGACGGCAAATATTAATAGGGACCAAGTAGTGCGTTTAAATCAGGTTACAACCGCAAAGCAATCTTTTTCCGGGTTCCAGAGTGCTACTTAAGTCCCTCGGTTTTTCATCTGAATTTGGAATTTGTGAAATTCAAGACATTAGCATAATTTAGATCTAACCCCTTTGGGGGTGCTATTGAGGCCTAGTTAGGGTCGAAACTAGTCCAGTTTGGATAAGAAAACTTTTTAGGAGAAAAGGCTAAATAAAATCTAATTGCATATCCCTGTTGTTACTCAGATCACTCTTGATGAACTAGGATATCTCAGTTCGAATACGTGAATGATTGACGGCCTCGAAGCTTACCAACATTGAGACTAGGTATAATGGTAAATTCCTGTTTGTTTTATCGATAATCCCACTATAAATTCAAATTATTAAGGACCTAATGTGGCGTGGATGTCACATCTGCTCTGTGAAAGACAAGGCCGGCAGGCATGACCTCGCGGAGAAAATGAGCCACTCAAAGTAGTCACTACGGGCTGGAAAGAACCCCTCCATTGAGCAGTAGAGCTACAGTAATTCAGCAATGACAACCAAAATCAAACACTCCAGCATGCTGCCTACTGACGGAAGACTGATTGGAAATAAATTAACTAGGTGAGCACACTACACAACCTCAATAGCTGTGATTAACAGAACAAGATGAGCTCAAATAAAATTGAAATCACTAAGGTTGACTACTACTTTCCTCGAGGTTTCGGTAATAATTAACTATCTAATAGACTAATTAACATCAAAGAAATATTTTTGGAAATCCAGACAACTGGGTATATATATAAATATAGAGAAATAATCCTAAAGGGTGGTTCATATGCAAAAAATATTTTCATAAGAGATATGTTCCTGAGTCGGTGGGTAATTCAGGTCGCCGGATCAGAAGAGGAAGATGTAGTCCCAATTTGAAATTATCCATCAATATCTGGGAGATTGATGTCGCTGCGCTTGTAGCTGTTCATAGCCCGATTCTAGTTGGAGTAAAGTAAAATTATAGCGCGATGGTTTACACATGTATAATCAAATAGGAAAAGTATGAAAAAAAGCAGATGCAGTAAAACCAGAACCAACTAAACAGTGTGCACATTAATTCCTGAATAGGTATGCCATAATAACTGGAGATTGAAAATCCACTCCCACATGTAGGGAATAGTGAGACTAAGGTTTGCCAATCATTGACCAGAATAATCACAGTATTTTCGATTTTAATAAAAATCCATGTGTACGTTTAGTCAAAAACCACGCATAGCCACCTGATATGTGATGTCTTAATTTGATAGATGCACAAGATGAGCGAAGAGCAAATTTAGCCATATTCGAACTTTAACTTAAGAAGACAGGACGTGAGAACAAAAATTAAGAGATTGGGAAATAGCGACAACTTCAATGCATCCAAGCCTCATTTTTGGCACTATGTCATTACGTACCCTGGAGACCAGACGTCTCCTCTAGCACCAGATGTCCTCTCTGACATGAATGCTGGAAAGGGTAATGCTGATACTGACGAGTTTTGGTATCTTCGACGTCGTCGGCAGCTACAATTTGAGCAGCAGTCATAAGCGCCCCTGAATAGCCGGGTGAAGTGGACCGAGGGCCCAAGGTGGGCGAAGCCGGCACCTGTAGGGGTTGGCAATTTGATGAAGGCCGTCTCGCCACTCCAGAATCATCAACCATGGGAAAGGCTGGGGTACCGACAGATGAGCCGAGCCTATTCTGACAAGTAGGAGGATGTGATGGAGAGGTTCGAGGGCTGCATTGAGTTTTTGAAAGGTTGTTCATAGAATTGTTTGGATAGACGCTACCATGGCTATGGGGAGGAAATGATGGCTGCAAATGTGGTATTCTATTAGGATGTGTGATTGTCGAGAGTTGAGTGGATCCAAATTTGGATACTTTTGAGGCGTTGGGCACCGAGGCTTGATGTGCCGGTAGAACTTGTGGGAGGTCGGAAGTTTTGCATTGCTCAGCTGTGAATTCAGATGACATATCGACAGAGCAAAAGAGAAACGAGTAAGAGACCTTGTTGGCCTTTTTCGTGTAATTGGAAGTTTGATATCATTAAGGCAAGTTCAAACGAATGAGTAATGCATGTTATAAAGCAGTGATTCCCAAACTGTGCGCCACGAAATATTGTAAGATTGAATTTGAGAAAATGTGCAGTGATTTGCCGGCTCATCCATCACATTAATTATTAAATATTAATTTAATGTTAATAAAGTAAAACAAATAATAAAGATACACGAGTTTTATTTATTTTTATCTTTTACTTACGAATAATCATACTTAGGGTAGGGCGTCATGAAAAAATTTTAATTGAAAAAGGGCGCCGCGACTAGGAAAAGTTTGGGAACCACTGCTATAAAGTAATATATAGATAGAAGAATGCAGTGACTAATTTGATTAGTGACCCATCACAGAACCGCACAAGATATTAAAATAAAGCACCCAGTATCTTAAAATCCCGAAGCTACGGATATAAACGATTAGGTAAGTTTAATGTGAAGCTGTTTAGAAATAATCGAATGCTTGTA